CTTGTAGTTTAGGGTTAATGGTTGGACTCGACGATACCAAGGGTCTTTTCCAACCTGAATTTTTCTATGAGTCTATTCTCCAGTTGAACTTGCTAAGTTGCAGGAAAAGTATTCCAAACGCCGAGGGGAGTCTGAGACAGAGTATGTGTGGCGAATCTCCCTTATGGGAGGGGATCGAATTCTGCTAAGCGAGGAAGAATCAAGATGTTATTGGGGTTCTGGAGTGTTTTTAACCACTGCACCAGGCAAGGATCATACTTATACCTTGACTGCAAGAACTGCTAATTGGGCTGGCGGCATAGATCCTCAGGAGAGAGGAAATCCTATTAAAACCCCAGGGTTTACTGATTTAGCCACATCTGTACAGAAAGCAGCCTGCATACAAGCAATGTATGACAGGGACTCGTTAAGGAGATCCCCGACCACAGCCCCTATTGACCCACTAAGGTTATCTCCTCTTATTCGTGGCCTCCTGGATTGCTTAAAACATATGTAGCTACTGTCCCGGAGCGCATACAAAATATCCATGCTTGAACGCTGCGGTGGCTGCTGCAGTTCCCCCAGGGGAGCGAGCACATGTAACAACTTGGAATGAGTTAGTAAATTATGGGTGCCATATGGGTTGGGTCGGACTGACTTCAGGGAAGCCACCTGAACATCTGAAAAGAGTTCGCCAGGTCCACACAGTTAAACCTAAGCCAGAAGCCAAATCACACTTTGATAGAGAGCATAACGATCTTTGGCGCAAAGCCTTGGCCCTGGGAATACCTTGGCAAAAGCTACATGGCACTCCCACCGCCAAACTCCAAGCTCTGGTGCAAATACTAAGAAAGAAAAACAACCCGTAAGGGAAGAGTCAATTGGCAGTGAATAAGACCATGCCTTCAGCCCCACCAGAGGATTTAATTGACCTAGCAGATAACTCAACAAAAAATGTGCAGCTCCAGGGAGGGCAGGGAGCCACCCTGCTCAGAGGATATTAGCTGTACAATGGCTCCTTAACAAACATTACAAACCTATCACTGCTGTTCCAACAGGGCCAAAGAAAATTTATACACATTTCCTTATTGATATGGGTGCTCAAATATCAGTAATCTCTAGAGACTGTAGAATTCTTAAACATAAAACCTAGTTGCCGTAAGATAAAATTTACAGGAATTGATGGAGTTATAAAGGAATACCCTACTGCTAAAATTCTCTTGTGGCTCCCAGGGGAAAAGAAATTAACTCGCACTGAGGTTTTGGTCAGTGCTGCAAACACTAACATTCTGGGATTCGATTTACTGTATAGTAGAGTATGGAAGTTACCCGATGGGATAGTCTGGAGTTTTACCAGACAAGATAATGGAGACAGTGAATGGCTTGAAGGGGATGAGCCTAAAACAATAAATTTACTAGAGACATCTGTATCTCTGCCTCCATCAAATATTACAAATATAAAGCAGTACCCCCTGCCAGCAGCTGCACAATCAGTTATTGACGGGGTGGTAAAAGATTTAGAAACTCGAGGTATTATTACCTGTATACCCTCCCCATACAATGCTGTATGGCCAGTAAAAAATCAAAATGGACAGTGGAGGCTTATAATTGATTATAGGCAATTAAATGCTAATGTTGCACCTTTAACTGCAGCTGTACCCAACATCGTAGAATTGGTTACTCAAATACAGGGAGCTTCTCATCCATGGATGGCGACCTTAGACGTTAAGGATATGTTTTTCATGATTCCTCTACAGGAACACGACAAAGCTCAATTTGCTTTTACTTGGAAAGGTATACAACACACCTCTAACAGACTGCCTCAAGGATGCAAACACTCTCCTACAATTGCTCATAATGCTTTAGCCAAAATCTTAACAGAAATTCCTAGTCCACCAGGTGTTACAATATATCAATACATTGATGATATATTGATAGGAGGAGTGGATGTAGAGGGAGTCAGATGTGCTATGGAAGCTGTGCGAGAAAAGCTTGTAGCTTTGGGATTAGATATTCCACCGTCCAAGTGTCAGCGACCCACAAAAGAAGTTAAATTTCTAGGGGTTTGGTGGATCAAAGGTGCTGCTTCTATTCCTCCAGATACACTGGAACAAATAGAGCAGAGACAAAATCCATCTAGCACAAAAGAATTACAGCAAATTTTGGGAACGTTAGGCTATTGGCATAAGCATATTCCTGGGTTTTCTCCTATTGCACATCCCTTATATAATCTGCTCAGAAAAGGAAAATCACGGGAACAGACTAAACAGCATCAAGAGGTATTAGAGCTATTGATGAAAGAACGAAGATTATTCCAGCAACTAGGTCCATTACACCCTACTGACCCTATCCAAATAGAATGAGGATTTAATGAACATGGTTCCCATTGTAATCTTTGGCAAAAGGGACCTGAGGGAGCAGAGAGACCACTAGAGTTTAGCTCTCACTCTTTTACTGACACTGAAACAGGTATTCAGATCTTGAAAAGGGTTTACTGTCCCTAGCGCGAGCAGTGAAGCAAGCGGAATAGATAAGGAAAGGACAGTGTGATCGTTAAGGGACCTTTTCTTCTCTTAGACATAGTCCGCAAGGGTATCATGCCACCTGCAGGCATTGCCCAGAAACCCACCGTCCGCAAATGGTATGCTTACCTGGAGGGTATTAATGACATCATGCCCATCACGAAAGGGAATATTAAACTATCTAAATTACAAAAGGATATAGACAATGCCCTATTATTCCAAACTCCACCAAGCGAACCATCAGTGATTCAGGAAGCACCTCCTCTAAAAGAAGACAGTGACCTTAAAGGGGTATGGTTCACTGATGCATCATCCTATAGGCAAAACAACAAGTGGAAACATAAAGCTGTAGCTTTAGAAGTAGCCACAGGGCAGAAATTAGATGAAACAGGTGATGGAAATGCACAAGTGGGAGAACCTAGAGCTGTCTTCCTTGCTGCATATCATGGTGCTAGCTACATCTATAGTGATTCACATGCTGTTTTCAAAGGGGCTACAGAATGGAGAGGTCACTGGGCAGCCAACAACTGGCAGGTAAATAGAGTTCCAATCTGGCAAACAGACAGCTGGAAGCAATTGCTGGAAATAGGACAGCAAAGAATGCTATATATTGGGTGGGTGAAAGGACATGACTGATCAACTTCTATTTCTGCTCAGTCTAACCAACAAGTTGACAGTCTTACACAACTACACAAAATCGATGTCGTGAATGATGACCATGAATGGGAAAGCTTACTCAAATGGTTACATGTCAAAGGAGGCCACACCAGATGAGCCAGCTTACACTGGGAAGGCATAACTCGAGGCTGGCCTGTATCAGTGAAACTGTGTGAACAGGTAGTGACTGCATGTTCACAATGTCATTTGCACCTTACTAAAGACCATCCGAGTAAGGCACCTCCCCTGCATATTCGAGACAAAAAAAACACTGTGGTGCACTTGGAAAAAAAAAATTGACTGCACAGGCCTACTGCAATCATCAGGAGGTAAAAAATACATATTAGTGGGTGTGGAAGTTGTTTCAGGAATCATGGCAACAGCCATTACAGCTGCTACTGGAGAAAATACAGTTCAAAGTTTAAAGGAATTTTTTTTTCCTACCAGAGGAAATTCAAAGTGACAAAGGATGACATTTTACAGCTACCGTGGTTCAAGACTGGGAAAAGAGGAAGGAATTCAGTGGGTGTTTCATACTGCATATTACCCCCAAGCCAACGGTATTGCTGAACGAACAAATGGGTTAATCAAGTGATTTGCTAAAATTCATGAGCCTAGATGGCATTTACGACTATCTAACGCTGTCTATCAGTTAAAAAATAGATGGAGCGGGGACAGTTGTCTGAAAATGAAAGCTTTTTGTGCTTCAAAAGAAGTTCGACAGATCCCTGGCAACACCCGACAATAGGAACTGTGGTTGGATTGGTTTTAGAGTCAATCTTTACACCTCACCTAATGGCTTTTCTAAATTGAATGATGTTACATAACCTCACTGGACAGATTGAAGCATTAGCCAATGCAACCCAAGTTGGGTTGGAAGCATTAAATACACAGGTACAGGTAACATCAAAGATGACATTACAAAATAGGCTGACCTTAGATTTACTATTATTGCATGAAAATGGAGTGTGCGGATACTTAGACCTAATCAATGATACTTGCTGTGTTCACATACTGAATGTAACAAAACATCTTGACGAGTAACTAGATCATACAAAGCGTGTAGTAAAAGCAAGTAGAGATCTTAGAGAAAGCATGGAAGTACAATGGTTAAACAAACTTTTACATGGTTTGGGTTTTTCATTGTCAGGATGGCTTGCTTCTTTAGTGTAATCAATTTTAGTCACAGTTATTGTGATTATGATGTTTTGCACGTTATTAGCTTGCTTTAGATCCATGCTAACTCGGGTATTAATTCGTCAAGTATGCATGGTGTTCGGGTGGACAGAGTTGGAGCTACACCCAGGTGAAGGAAAGTCAAACATAAGGGTTACCCCCAAGATTGACTTTACTAGTGCATGATTTCAATCTCGATTGAGTGATCATAGTAACAGGGTGGATAATGTGATATTTTAGCCTAAGGGTTTCAGATTTGCTGAACACCGGTGTTCATTTATCTGTTATGCAGACCCTGAGAATGGATTGAAACAAGGCCTACACAGTGAGAACCAGCCAAAGGAGGGAGTCTTGTGATGCCAGGATGGCCCTGTTTTGGCAAAAGAGCAAGGCCACACGGAGACTAATGGTGTGAACATCATCCTGCAAATAGACAAGCTGCTTCAAAACAAAATCCTGAAGGCCACTCTTCGCTCAAATCATGCCAAATGCCACCCCAGGGGAAGATGGTATATAAGGAGCATAGAGGGTATGTGTCGTTGGGAGGAGAAGACCCTAGAAGAGGCAGAGGCAGTCGACGGGCTGTGCTCCTTGTCCTTCACCCAAGACAGGGACGCCTTCTTGGTAAGAATCGCGCTTCCACCTTTTGGTGAGTAACACCCAGGATAGTATTTTGCTGGCATTATTATCATAAATCAGAGAGTGATTTTAGCAACAGCAACTCCGAATGTTGTATCTGTCACTTTAATAAATTACCTATTTTTGGTTACCTTGCAAATTGACTCAGTGCAAGTCCTTACCGGGGCTCTGAAACAAGCAAGTGTTTCGCTGGGGTTCGTGACTCTCACAGCCACGTACCTTTCACACGACAGCATATAAAAGTACGTACAGTGATTTTAGGGTTCAGATTCTTTATAAAAAAACACAGTGCTGGTGCTGGGAGTGGTAAATCTAAGCCAAACTAACCAACAACAGAGATAAGCTATAAGCCATTGAAAACAAATGTTCCTCCAGTTGAGACTAAAAAATTACTTTCCCTATTTAGACTGAACCTCTTTTAAGCATTAAAAAAACCCAACCAACCAAACAAAAAAAGGCATGTGAATCTTTAAATAAGATTTCTTAGCTCTCTTGATGTGTCCTGGATTAATGTACAAAAATTTCTAAAGTGACTGTATCAGACACTTTGTTATACAGTAGTCAGAAATGGATTCCAACTTTCAAGGGTTATTTTCATCTATTTGGTCGTTCTTTCTGGATATGTTGCTGTCGTGTTGCTTTAGTGAATTTATTAACAGCAGTACATAAATATGTTGCAGTATATAAATATGTTGCAAAGGTAACTTTTATTTTTTATTTTTAGAAAGAAATCAATACTGAGATCGGTAAGAATATTTCCAGTTATTACTTCAGACCTTTAGTACCAAAATAAGTCATCTGTCCTCCCATTTTACATATATATGAGACAAGTCTTCAAATTCAACCACTGGAGACTTTGTGTTGAAGCTGTTTGGGTTTTTTTACACTACACGCGAGTTGATAGCACAGTCTTTCTGCAGTGTTTCTACCTGGTAACTACCAAGTGCTCCTTCAGACATTTAGGGGAAAAATTAATACATTATTTTACCTGTCACATCAGTAGACAATGTAGACAAGCAAAGGCTGCAAAAACACTCATTTTAATAGTCATTGCTTTTATATGAAGAAGGCTTCCACCTACTCAAAGGCAATGGAAACATTTCAGTTACCTTGAGTGCTAAAAGGCTCTTGTTAATTTCCGCACCTTCCAGTCGAGTCTGCCTATCTGCGCTGGAAGTATCTGCTCCTCTTTCATTGCCAGCCAAATCAATCAGAGAAAATTTACCATGCAATTTCCCTTTCCTTCTGAGAATAATCTGAAATACTGCATGGCTTCGAGATGAGTGTGCATTTGCAGACGTCTGGCCAGATGTCCTTTAAACAAAAGGAGAGAATGGAAGGACATATTAAACACACTAACTTCAACACATTAGCTTTTTTCAGGGCAGAGTCCTGTATTTTCTTACATGTCTAACATTCTTGTGTGCACTAGAGATAAAACCTTAATAATTGGATATAGATAGTACAATTATACCTCTTTTTCCATCTTTTCAGACAGAAATGGAAGATTACTAACATTTTACCTCCTTTTTAAAAGCAAGAATAATCAGATCTTCAAAGATTTCAGATTATCAGAGAGCTTACACGTAAAATGCTGATGACATTTTTATCTGATCAGGCAGCTGTATATGCACAAAGCTAATTTTAAAAGCAATGAAGCTGCATTCCTGAAAAAAATAAACATTTATGCTTAACCTCTGTCACTACGTATCAAGGCCTTTTAGAGCAGAAGAATCTGGCAGTATTCCAGATTATAAATGATGTGTATCTAAGTCAGTAAGCTGCTTACATAATGCATGTAGTTCACATCCTGTAGAAAAATCAGTTATTCCTCTCTAGGAGACAGAGAAACACTTAAATTTCTTTATTTTAAAAGTAGGCAGATTCCCTACTTGCAGCCAAAATCATCAAAAAACCCCACTGCACATTAAAAAGCCATCACTATAAAAAGACTCTAAAAAAATCTTATTCTTTAATGTACAATGAAAAACTGGTGTAAACTATGGGAGATACCTGCAGCTGTTGCCTATTTCAATAAGCTTAAGAACATCTTCAACACATTTCACTTCCCGTTCCTGTAATCCCACCACTTGGACTTGCTGTTTACCATCTTCTAACACTCTTAATTTTGTTTTCCTGTTCAACAAGTCAAAAACCTTGGGGAGGGGGGTGAAAACAGAACAGTTAAAGAAGAGCTTTAAAAGACACTTGTTTCAAATTCCATATAAAAATATGCAAAGCATTCCATGGAAAAACATGATTGAAAAGGAAGTGTAAGGAATTATTTGAAACAAAGATTTTAGTACAAAAAGGAAAAAAAAGTCTTGTGTGTGACAAGCTCAAAATGTTGTTTGTGAAAGAGAAATTCCTCCTTCCTCAGAGAAACATCAAGTACTTACTTTACCACTGTAGATCTCAAAAAATGTTGCATATACTTGAAGTTCTAACTTCTTATAGTTTGGTTTCTTTAGCATTAAGAAGACATCTCTAGCTGTGAATATATTTCCAGAATAAAGAGAATCTTGTTACATATTTTCATTTAGTAAAAACCCAATAATGCGTAACAGTCTATTTTACAGCACCTCTTGCATTTTGCAAATGTAACATATAGGAGCAGTCAACCAAGTCTAAAAGTCCAAACTGCTACATTACATTGTAAGATGCAGAAGACACCAGAATTATAAATTTAATTAATCATACTTTATTACATTTTGTGAAGTAATCTATATATACATTTACTTTATTGTGTAAAGACTACACATCTAGGAGTCTAGATCCTTATGTTTGTACGACAGGGAGTAGAAAATTTATTGATCTCAACTAAACTGCAAAATGCTAATAGACCAATAAAGCCTCACCTGCAAGTGCATATATTCCTTTAGAACAATCCTGGTTCTTTCCTGAAAAGTCACCACCCATAGTCTAAATTAAAAAAAAAAAACATATAAAAATAACAGAACTGGAACTTACATATTTGTTACTTATTAGAATTCACCTAAGTTCTAACGAATATAATAAGTGTATTGCTGGCATGTAGAAGAAATACTTACATGGGTTTTTCCACTCCCTGTTTGTCCATATGCAAAACAAGTAGCCATTCCCCTTTCAAATATGGTCTCTACTAATGGTCTAGCTGTAAACCTTAAACGCAAAAAACAACAGTAGTTCAGAAACCGAATTACTCCAAGATGCCACTACCACAAGGATGCTATACATTTTAAGGTCGTAAGTGACAAAACTGGTCCTGTGCTTTGAGAGGCCAAAGGAAATCTCTACATTAGTTCCTGAACTAAAGAGATCACCAGCTCTGAGGCTCAAGAAAATGGACACTCAAGCTCTTCAGAATAGAAGAATCTAGTTACCCCTGAAGTAGTAACTGATGTGTCAAAAAATACTATCCAAAGTGTTATTTTCTATTTTAAAGAATTATTTTTACTGAAAAATAAAAAACCGCAATAGTTATTGTATTATTTCATGAAAACTCCAAAAGCAAATGGTAACCTAATGGAGGCTTATCAGTGGAGTCTCTGTGCAAAAAACTCTGAATATTTTTTCTAGATGTTTACCTACAAAGCACCTTTAAGTGACAATCGTTTACAGAAACCTTCTTTCATTCCATTTTTGAACAGACAGAAGATCATGTACAAGAATAATATGTGCAAGCCTGAGCCATCCAGCAACCAAGGGCTTTGCAAATATCTAAGTTCAACTGAACCATGAATTTTCATCAAAAATGCACTAGATGATTCCTGTTCAGTTTTAGACTTTCTGTTTTTCCTTCTTCTAAACATATACTTCCTCTGTCCTCAAGAGAATATTCTGATATTTTGATGTTTACTCTTGTTCTATATAAAACAGAAAATCTCACAAAGCCTATCCTCTTAAGAAGCACAGTCTATTATCTCTGTTTGAGTTTGAAATTATTTACTTTGCGAATTATTAAAAAAAAGACTTAATTATATTTATTTTAAAGTAAGGTACACGTAGAAACGTTTTCATACAACTCCAAAAGGTACCATGCCAAAACAGTTCAACTTTACTTTTACTAGAATCTTTATTTGCAGTCTTGATCTTTCAGAATGTAAACTCTGGTTCTCCTTTAAAACCCAAATGGTACAGGCATTCAAAGTAGTGTCTGTTTTTTAGTATTAATGAAAACTTGAAACAAGCAAAACTTGTTGCAGATTATCAATTAAAAATCATTATTATTAATAATAATTTTAACAATAATAAATGCATTTAAATATTATTTTATTACTACTAATAATAATATGATTATTACTACTATGCTATTATTACTACTATTATTACTGCTATGCTATTATTACTACTACTAATAAAAGAGTAGTACTTTTTCCCCCCAAAACGAAGAACGTTTTTATGTGTAGGTATACAGTGAGTAACTGCAGAATACTGAAGAAAACTGGGCATAACTTGCCACATTATTTTTTTCCCCACTGTGACCCTGGCGCCATGGTGAGAGGAGATGACAATTCCTAACTTTCTCTTACTCCTGTTATTACAGGAGGCCTTGAAGCAGATTGTCCTTCAAGTAATAATCATTATCGTGCCTTTGAGAGAGGAGAAAGACTTCACTGCTACACAGCCTAGAGATTTACTGTTTCAGTATGGATACAACCATCTTCAATATTTTTCCATGCTACCATTAATGCATTACGCAACTAATAAAAACCGTCTGGAGAAAACTCAATACAAAAATACAATAATGTTGTATGCCAAAAACACCTCTCACACTTAAACACTATGCTCACAAAGATAAATAACAGGAACGAGGGAGATTAGAAGAACTGATTGTTAATTAAGCAGATGAGAACTATTACAAGAAGCACACACGACCAGTTAGATCACTCTCCCACAGCTCTTCAGTATCGAGAAAGGGAAGATGTTACCAGCAGACAACCATCACAGACAGAAATCTCCAAGAGCACAGCTTTGCTGTTTATAAGTCTTTTGTTAGTGTATACTGACTACACAGATTTTCCTTTTGCCACCCTTCTTTTCCTAATTATATCAAGCATAAGTTTTAAATTTCAAGGGCTTTTAATAATTCTGTTACTATGAATTTTCTCTGTCACTACCACTTAAGGCTTTGGGAAGCACTTCCCAAGCATAAGGAAAATTACCCTCAAATTCCTTGTAATGTCAATATTCCCTGCAAAAAGCTTCACAAACTGCATTGAGATTATGACCTGTTATGCTCTCTAACCTTGCCTGCTACTCTATGTGCTCCATTTAGTAAGTTGTACAAGGTTAAATGGCTACTTCTAAAGATATTTTTAAATGCGTTACGTTCATTACTCTCTGCCAGCTGCGGAAGTGAAACGGAAGAATAAAGGAGAAAACGGAGACCCAAATACCTTGGGGCTGAAAGTGGATGTGTGTCTTTGCTGCTGTTGTTTTTTAAATCAAAAGGATTCAGTATTTTGAGCAATATAACTTTGCTCCATGCACTCCCGTGTTACATCAGCCAGATTGCTTCCAGCAGCCACGCCAGCTCAGGTATCTCAGCAATACAGTAACGTGACCTCTCTCACTTTCTTTGTATTCTTTCTCCACTCTCTCCTGATTTCCTGATTTGTTTCCATTTATTACTTATCTCATACTCAAACTACAAGCTCTTTGGTGCTGGGGCTGTCCTTTTCTTCCAAGTTCCCTGAAGACGAAAAGTCATACTCAGGTTCCTCAGGTGCTGCAAATACACTGATTAATAAGATGATAACCCTGAGGCAAATGGAGAGCTCATGAAGTTGTTCAACTATTCAGCAGCTGAGGAGGCAGGCAACGCATACTAGAGCCTGGAAAGCAGCAGGGCTTGCAGAAGGACTGAGAGCAGGACTGAGGTCAATGGAAGTGGAGATGACATTGCAAGTGAAGAATTCAAGATAAAGAGTTAAAAGAAAAGTAAACACACGAAAGAATGGAAGTAGCAATATATGCATCTGCTAACACAGAAGAGTAAAATCCATGATTAAGGTAAGCCCACAGTTACTGACATGGGAGATACATGAGAAAAAAGATTCACAAAAAAAAAAGCAAATACACATACCTGTAAACCATTTCATTAGGAGCCGTGTCATCAAAGGCATAATCAAAACGAAAAGTTTGGTTTTCTAGGTACCTTGTTAAATCCACCTTTTGTTTTGGTTCATGTACCATCACAACATCTTTACTAGGAATTGTTATTACATCAAGGTCTTTCATTAAAGTTTCTATAAAATAAGTGAAATATATATTTAACTAGCAACACATCATTATCTTTTACATTTTTTCATTATTTACACTCTTATCTCAGATAACACAGCTCCTCCAAGTAACAACACTGCGATGGATTTGGGCTTCCGATGCCTAGATAGTTATCTGCTAAGTAAGAGATTTCATTTGGGTAGTCTAGTCATCCTATCCTCCCAATTTCCAGAAATTAAAGAGAGGTTGTACAAAGCTGATTAGAAAAACTAAGATTATGAAAGCTAAAAAAACCCCCTCTAATTATAGCACTATCATTGTAGCTTCTTATGTATTCTGAAATAACACTTTCCATGGATTTGAGTTCTTTTTCCTCAGGGCTTCTCTTAGAGATTACTGCCATATACTTTGAGATTTTATAAACAACTTCTCTACTGGATAAACTGGACGCTGACTTGAAAACACAAAGAAATTAATATCCTTATAATAATCTGCTTTATTTTAATTTTCATCTTTTTATTTTCCCTAAATCCTTAACATGACAGTCATATGTTCACAGCTTTCAACAAGAAAAAATTGCTTTCATTTTACACAGACATTTTCATTTGTGTATTTCTCCTGGAACCTAAAACATACATCGTTAATTCAGAATTTCTCTAAACTGAAATCCTTCCTAAAATTACTTAGTAAGCAGAAAGCACTGGAAATGCTAATGTTTCTTCCTATCACTGAGAATGAACAAAAGCCATCTAGATGTGATTTCAGCAGTGAGATCCCAGGTTATAATTACTACACAGCACTACAATTTACTGCTAATTGTTGTATGAGATATGAGTCAGCAAAACAGAGAACCCAGTGATCCACGGTATGCACAAAAATAAAGACCTTCTGTGCGTACAGTCAGGATCACTAATGTGTCCTACTTGCATTTCTATTTAAATTTTCTTAAGGCATGCAGCTCAAGAATTTGATGTGGCTTTAATCAATCAGATAGAAATCTTTTCATCTGTTAACATACTGATCAAACAGTACAATGGTTACCATTGCATGACATTACACACCAACAGAAATGTACATTCAAGTCCCTATATAATCAGTTTTTCAACTGCACAGCAATAAAATATTTTTCTGCAGTAGCTACAAAGAAGAAATAAGGAACAGTGATGAAAAGAGATGTAGGAAGGGCAATTTTTTTGTAGCAAAAGCTTTTTAGTTTAGTCAAAAGCTGATTTTTCTTAAACAATTGTTTGGAGTAAGACATTTACCTGCTTCTAGCTATTTGGTAGGACAACCTGCATTCTTTGCTGACGAAAATTTTTAATAGTGTCTCTTAAATCCACCAAATGCATTGACTATACAAATACAGTGACTATACATCACTGAAATAAAACCTTAAAACGCCAGTGTGAGCACCTACTTCCTGCAAAGTCAATCCACTAAACAACTGGTGCTGAGAACACAATATTTTGGTGACTGTTTGGTGTTCGTGAGACTGACACAAAGAAAAGAAAAAGATTTTGTTTCTTCTCTTCAGGGTGTTATACACTAGTATCTCTGGTTCTTCTACACTCTTCAATTTTAAAACCAGGCATTTCTTATGAAGTGTGTCTTTTCAGCAGATTGGATCACATGGGTACTAGATTATCTCTATAGTTCACTCCCTGCATAGTTTATTTCATTAATACCTTTTTGCTTAATCTTAAAAATGCAAAAGAAGCTTAGTGCCAACTTCATTTTTACTTAGACACTCATACTCCTACAAGCACTTCTGAACTATTTTTTTAATAGCTCCAAACCACTAATATCTAAGACATGCAACTTTCACCGTATCAAAACCTTCTAAATCCCAACTCATGCCCCATGACGACCTGCTCTTATTTACTGTAATTTCACTTTGTCCACATTCAGAAGTGGTAAAAGGTGATGTTTTTCCTAAATGTATCAGATTTCTAAGTTGTATTTTATTAAAGATAACCTCTAATGCTAAACAGAAAATCAGTTGCTACCAGACTTGTATGTTGAATGCTCTTATTAAATAGGTTGTGCAGAACAGTTCAGTTAACTCATTTTTTGAGATTATGCATTCCTTTCAGATGAATAAAAGGTAAAAATACAGGGAAGAGGAAAACAGTAAAAATAAAAATGAAGAAAAAAAAAGTAGGGGAAGCAACAACATGGAGGGAAAAAAAATAGGACAAAAACTATCTATCTACTGCTATCAACAGATGTTTTCCCCTTCCCAGACATTTCTCCCATTTTCCTCTGAATATGCCCCAGATAATCCACGTGTAGTTCTGATAATAAAAAAAGTAAATGCATTCCTTGTCATCTCTGAGTCAGAGTGATGCTCTTTCACTCCTTCAGCTAAACAAAATGTAATAGAAAGAAGAGGAAAGAAACATCTTTTGAAACAAAAGATATCTTACTTAAACACTGGATTCAGACAGGCTGCAATCCAGAAGCATTTACTTTCTTAATTTCCCACTTGAAAGTTAAAAACTTCATGGGAAGATTCGGATTTAACTGGAATTGAAAACCAGAGCACGTTTTTTTTGGAATACAGACTCCAGTCTGATGAGTCGGCTGCAAGAAAAAGAAGTTGTGATACTAATCACATATTAAAAAAGTCACCAGGGAGTCACTCCAGTACCCATTTCATATGCTTTAGAGTATCTTCAGGGTATGCTGCCCAGCCCTGAGCAGCAGCTCCCGGGGGATACAAGTCTCCAGTTTGTAATCTGCTGGGCCTGCAAGACTGTCTTGGACATTTGGGCACCTAAAGCCCTAACACATGAGTGTCAGGCACCTGAACTGCTCCCTTGATGTCTGATTCAGGAACAACTGGAAATATAAAAATACATGTGCAAACAGTCTGTGTGAAGATTTTGATTCTGCTCAGGAGATCACCTGAAGGATAGTTTAAAAGAATTGTGATCCTAACACACTGTAAGAAAACTGAAGTAATTACAGTATAATTAAGTTCCCAGATCAACTAAATACATCCTAGCTGACCTTGGAAAAAACTTGGAGTCTCTCTGCACCCCAGCTACCAATCCTCAAAATGGTGGCAGTTCAAATGCATTCCTCTCCATCTTTATCCAGGTTATAACGAGTCTATGAATTTTCCAGGTCCACCACACGTATGGTCTAGTGTAACAGTTTCACCTTGGATCAGTATTTCTGGATCTCTTTGACACAAATAACATTACTATCAGAAGCAACTCTTCAGACAAAAAAAATTAGTAAAATCTTCAGTGGTCATACCTTTTTTATTGAGTGGTCGTTTTCGTACACAAACACATATCCTGTGCTCATCAATCTGCAAAAGAAACAATCTTTCAGTGAACTATAACCTAATTCCGGTTATACAGTATTTTACTTCATTTTACTCCTGTTCTTGAATTGGCAAACCAATTGCTTAAACAAGGAGAGATTTTCGAGACTGAGTTATCTGTAAAAGCCCCTTGTATCTGCACAATAGCCAAGAACCCAAAAGTGAGAACCACACATTTGCAAAACTCCCTGCAGACAGTGATCTAATCCTGTAGAGTATCACGTACATCTTGGAATACTACAAGGAACCCCAGCTATAACAGGGTAGATACGCTATTGTCAGAAGTTGTCACAATCTCTGATTTCCACAGAGATCTGATGATCTTCATCATTTAAGAATCCTGCTCCTGTGACTTCTCTGCAAACCAAAGGCCCTCATCATCTTCAAAGATCAAATATTAATCTTCATGCTTAACCGGGTTTTTCAGAGAGGCCTAATGGTCTGCATGCACATCCCCTGGCACCCCAGGAGAATTTACAATACAGAGGGCTGAGTGACCACTTAGTACATACTGGTGTTATTTTACAGTAAAAAGATATTTAAATGACACAACGTTAATAACAGTGATTTTGAAGTAGGCCTTCAAAACTTATTAATTGCAGTATCATCAAATCACTGAAAAAATAAACCCATGTTACAATGAATACTAACACCTATTACACTACATACTTTTCATGCTACAGGCAGAATTATACATTGAAAGAAACTCAAAACACACAGCAAAAATACAGAAGCATAAAAAATTTCCATGCTGCTGGAATACTTACAGGATCTGCAGTTGTTAGTGGTCTATAATCCAGACTTGCCCTGAAATCTCTTATCATACACATAATTTCATAATTTGGGTTCGTAGCATCAACATCCTGGGGAAGTAAGCAACAAATTTCTAATATACTTTTTTTCTGACATAAACTAACTTCAATATATACTGTATTTATTGATAAGAAAAACACACATTAACTAAAATCTTATTTTTTCTCCAAAACACTAGAAATGTCTCAAATGCAAGTTTAATGGTTTTTTTCCATTCTGATGTAGCTAATCTACTGATGATAAAGCAAAACAATTAAATGCTTTCTATTTCCTGGTTTCAGATGACATGTAATAGAAAATACCTTCAAATTAAGCATTCATTAACAGTCTACTCAAGAAAGAGAAATTGCTCCCTGCCAGAACCTTCACACTGAAGCAACACCTCTGAACGACTGCACAACACTGGATAGCATATACAGTCAACCCTTCTTAAGGTGAGGTAAGGCAGTCCGAGGGACAAATGGACACACTCCACCACACAGGTACAGCACACGCTGCAGAGGACAGTGCCGGCATCCCACCTGCTCTGAACAACAGTCCTGAGGCACCCGAGTCGGTTAAAGGACCTTGGTCCTGCTACTGGTCCCAGGTTAACTCCTACAGCTACCTGGATGCATCAGAAACTCTTCTAACACTTCTAGACCCCCACAAAAAGCAGAAGCAATTCCAAGGATATACAGTAGGCTACAGAGAATCATTTGGGTTGGAAAAAAATATTAGGTACATCCAGGCTCAGAAGACCTCCTGTCCCTAAACCCAGATCCACCAGCACCAGTGAATGGACATGTAAGAGGCTGTGCAAGGAGTCCCTCCCAAGTCTTGCTAACCCCGAGCCTGCTGTGAGCTGAGCTGGTTCTCCGCAGAATCCATCAAACATCCTTCCTGTCACCACTCCCCGCAAGTGTCAGTTTTTACACCATTTCCTGACACACTGCTGATGCCGTACATAGCCAGCCCTGGTGCTCAGACCTTATTAAGTTTTGCACAGCTCCGCCCAATTGAAAAAAACTCCTTTGGGATCGCAGCTGGTTGCAGGACCAGTGCAGGCAGCCTCAGAAAGTGCTGGGGTGAACGAGCTGAAAGGCAGCCAGCTCACGTCCCTGCACCTGTGACACAGCCAATCCTCACCCCCCATAAAACTGTGTCCTGGTCATCAGAACCCGAGTGTACCGTGATGGTGTTCACCCTGACTACAGCGAACAAAAAAACTGCTGGCAGTAAGTCCACATAGAATATATCATGTTTTAGCATTCAGAAAGGACTACCGCTTCTTAGAGAACAAGTGTTTGCCTAACACTCTTTAAACCCTCTTTAAAGGTCTTGCCCACGAGAAGACAGTGGTTGGCTAATTGCTGCTGCATTTCACAACGACAACAACAACAACAATAACAGAATACACAAAGCAACACAAAGCACAGGTACATACAGGTTATCAAGACAAACAGAGCTTCCTCATACAGAAGTTTAAGAGTCAGATGCAAAGGGAGTCTTCACAGGAGCGATAAAAAGAAAATTTTAGGTGTTGTACCATGTCAAAATATTTTAATATATCAAGGCAAAAAATACTTGTTCCTCACACATAGTAATGTTTTGCTTTTGTGTAAACAGATGTAAACTAGAGCACACAACATAGGTGATTTTAGGACAACTTAGAAACATCATTAAACCATGAAGTAAACTGACTGTGTTATTTACTTGGTTGTGGTACTTCTCCTGTCAGTAGCAGACTGGTAGTATCTCTTTAGAGACTAATACACATGCACAGGGCTGTCAGCAAGATTATACTATTAGTTTTGCTCAAGCTTTTATACCACTGTGACAGAAAGTCATTTAATATCAAGAGATTTTCCTCACAGGATGAACAACTCCATTTCTTTCACACAAGTTTCTAACAACTTGCTGCCAAGCTGCCTGCATGATGCAAAGCTAAATTATAAATGCATAGACTGGTTTAAAGAAAAAAAAAAAAAAAGAACAAAAGTCACTGTTCAAACTTAAGCCTCAAATATATCTCACAGAAAGCACCAAAAATCATAAAAACTAGTTTATCATATTGTTGTAATACCTTCTGTAGAATAACAGACCTGTCTAGAAGCCAAAGGTTTGATTATTTTTAGCAATATATTTTCAGTGAGAAATAGCTATCATCAGTATTTGATCTTGAAAGAAAACACAACAAGATAAGCAAGTGCAAGCAATTATTTCTGTAGGAAGAAAAAGGGGGAAAACTGTCTAACGTAATAGTTACGAGAGCAATGCAACCAAGCACGAAAATATTTATCAAACTTGTATACAGCATGAAAATAAAACAATGTCAAGATTATTACAATTCAAGAAAATTATTAAAGCCTGAAAAAAATCACGATTTAAAAAACTTCTTTTGCTGACATACGTTTTCCATCCGAGCTAAAAATACTAACCTGAGCTCTTTTTTCTCTAAGTTCCTGCTGCTGTAACCTTCTTTTCTCACGTTTCTCTTGCAATTTTTCAACCTCTTTTACACAATTAGATTTTCTACGTGCTTAAAGAAAATGATATAATTTTAAAATATTTTCAGTGTTGAATTTAGACTATAACATTTTAATTTTATTATTTTATCAATAATCAGAATGCACCTATATCAACTATCTTTTCAAGCAAATCAGTATTAGTACAGAATAACTACAGCAATTTAATTTCTAAAATTCAGAAAATAAATGAATTAGAAAAGCCATGGGAATGGGACAGTAATTACATGAACAAAAATATAAGGATAATGACCCTCAAAAAGCATTTGGACAGATACATGTGATCTCTTGGTTTGGACTAAAAGAAAGCCCAGGCAAATTTAAAAAGAAAAAAAAGGAAGAAAAAAAAAAAACCAAACCAAAACCACACGGCCATGGTTAAAAAAAGACAAAGGAAAAACAAATTCCAAATACTAGCAGAACTATGACAAAAGTGAACATTTGTTTAGCCACAGCTCTCTGAAAAAGCTCCTCGAGGAAGCCCACAGACAACTGCACATGCAGACCATTTGTCATTTATGGACAACAACATAATCCAAGAGAATGTACATGTAACGCCCAGAACGAACGAATCCTTGATACACGGTTTACATACAAGGGGGTCCAAATTCCTTTTTTGCAGCTTGAACTGGAGATATATCTGAAACACTACCATTCTGTTGAGAAGAGGAAGACTGCTCGGGAAGCTGAGTAGGTCGCGCACGTGCAGAACCAGCCACTGCAAAGGAAAAAAGCACAAAGATCATCTGGACACGGAAGAGTAAAATTGCTACCTGATTCTGATGCTTTGTTACAGTAAGACAAAATGAGACCCCTTTTCAGACACAGCAGTCTATTGGGGAGGAAAAGCAGCCAGACATGCAGAAAGTCTATTAATAAAGACATTTTGTGTGCAGCCCTTTTTATCCTAGTGTTACACACCAACACAACGTAATTATTAAGCACCAATGCTGCACGTGCATATTTCTGAATAGCCTATTGCAAAATTAGTACAACTTACTACGTGCACAGAATGAACTATGTGCTTGGAGATATGCAGTCCTGAAGCTTAAAGTGCTGAGATTTTATTTATATTGTGATTATACTCAAAAAAAACGAGTAACAAAAAAAGCCCGCTGTCTCATATTCTCTAGGTATTACAAAACTGCCCCACCCCATTGAGCCTATGATCTCTGGAGGAGCAAAAGGATACAAATCAAAAGCAGCAAAATGCAGCTCAGTCTGCGAGTGGAAGAAATAAACCTTTTTCTGACCCTGTACAGGAAGGGATATAGATACAATCAATACATCTAAACTTATGCATTGATGTTACATGTGCTAAGGATGCCGATTTCTGAGGATGCAGTGATGTCTGTTCCCAGTGAATGCAGTGGGAGTGGTGAGCACACAAGCCTTTCTGGTAGAGCTGAATGCTTTAAATTGTTTTTTCAAAAGAGTTGCTTCAAGCAGCTCTGCTTCAGCTGGCTCATTTCCTGCACAGGCTCCCAACAGAGCCTGCCAGAGGATTTCAGAGGGGAAGGTACCAGCTCTGATTAGCAGCCAGGGATGACACTCCAAACGAAGGTCAGCTCACTGTGCTACACGGAGACCTCCACAAAAACAGGTAGTGAATGAGACAGACAAGACACACTCAGATCATTCCAAGTATCACAGGAGATCTAGTTTAGAGCCCAAATTGACTACATGAAATAAGACAGTGTGCTATCAAGGCCAGCAAAGAATAAATATTTAGGCCAGCTGTGAACAGTAAGATGCACATGGCCTATTAAAATACAAGTTCCAGGGTTACTCCACACCAAACAGACCACTTACTACAAATGACAACATGGATGGATGTGAGGAGAGCCCATAAATAAGATGTCTCAAATTTAAACCATGTTAGTGTGAAAAAAATTATCCCTTCTTCATGAGATTTCCCATTTAACGCCCCCTGAGGCAAATGGCAGAAGGGCAAAAGTGGTCCTCTGTCCACCAGAAGAGTCTGAACACTTGCAAAGACAGGCAAACCCATTTGTTTTTCCAAGTTTAAACAGATGGACTGGCATGTAGTCTGAATACATGACGGTAGATTAATGTTTGGAAGAAGAATCATCACCATTATCAGTACAAGTTAGATAAGTTTAGAGAAAATCAAAATAATAAGCAGTAACCATTCTTTCTCATGTTACAGATGCATTACATCTGTATGCACCTAATACATACTTTTCACCTATCCTCCTGCAGTATTCCAGCATTTTTTCCTATTAACTCTAGAAATAACCTGAGAAATAACCTGTTGGGCTGAAGTACTCTTTGAACGAGTGCTGCCACACAGACTGTTACCACACTAACTTAAAAAATGGAAAACATAAGAATTTTAAGTGTACTACATAGTACAGGTTGAAACACTCCACTAAGCTGAAGCAAACTGAGGTTGCTGTAACTTGGAAAAGGTCACACATGATTCAATGTAGCATAACTAATTAACTTGAAATTTTTGCACCTTCAGTTCATTCAGCTTAACTTTCTTAATGCTACATTGCTTACACTTGCACATAAATAGTACTTGTAGAGTATGAATTGCTACACATACACAGGAATAATTTGAGGAACGCTGTAAGTCTTTTACAAGTCACATGCAAACGTACTGAATGACTGAATGACAAATGCAGAACTATTAAGGAATGCTAGATGCGTAGGAGGTTAAAACATTCCCGTATTTATTACTTCCTTGAAATGGAAAGAGATAGCATTTACCTCTGTTATCTCTGGCAGGGATATCATTCTTAATAGGTCCTGCAGTTCGTCGAGTCTATAAAGAAAGAAATTTCTGTTATTTGATCATCATATTACTGAAAACATGAACTGCCAGCCTCACCTCTGCTTCTTTCCAGCAAATGAAAATAAATACAACCTCAGCAATACAGGAGTGATTGCTGACAACTCCCTCCAAGAGCCTAGGGTGCAGACTACTTGAACTATATGTACTGTTTCAAATCAACTTCCAAAACCTTCTCTATACTTTTCCTTGAGATATTTTTAGCCATACAAGTACTACTCCCCAATTCCCTCTCTGCCAAACTTGTCCTTAAAAGACTTCAAGAAATCTCTACTCACCATAGGAAAAAGGAAGGAACACAGGTATCAAGCAGCTCCACAGACTCAAATGTTAAATTAAAAATTCAAACGTAACAAGTTAGTCTGTAAGTCTAACATGAACAAGCTGCATAGATATTACCAACCTTCACAATTTTGTTTACTTTGGCTGATGAAGTAGGTGGCGGTGGTGTCTCTGGACTAGGTTCAATGTCTTCATCAGGTGCAAGATCTGGGTTAAGTGAAAATATGCTCTCCAAGTCAATCTGTGTAAAAGAACATAAAATGCATTCATGAGCTTAAAACAATACTCACCCTCTCCATTTCTCCTATGTTTGAGAATAAGCAGTGAGTATATTTAGTGCTTTTACCCCACAATTTGTTAATTCCCAAACTGGAATTATCTTGTTTCATGTTCACTAAAAACAGTGTAAGCTTTGGTCTTTGTGAAAACACACCCCTCAGAAAAGGGACGAATTAAAAGTGACCAATAGATACTCATAATTTTGTGAAGTGATTAAATTAAAACAGAACTAGCAACCGCTACTGTGGTTATTTGTCTGTTACTACAAAATACAAAAGAAATTCTGTAACATAAAAAGAAAAATATCTCAATTATTTGAAATTTCCCAGGCGATGCTAAAGAAATGATGAATTACAGCCATCTAAAGAATAAAAGCATAGTTGCAACCATGTTAAATTTATAATGCTATTTTTGTTCTTTCAACTGTTTCTAATTCAAAATGTTGTAAATGTAAGTGTAAATATAAACGTAAAATATAAGAGGGAAGGAGCTTAAAAGTAGCTGGCTTCACAGTTACTGAAACTTCAGGTTTTCTGAAATATTTAATAGAGTCAGTGTCTATAGCCATTTCCCCTGACTGGCCTTTTCAAAGACCTCACTGCCGTACGAATTCTGTGTGTCCACAGTGATGAGAACACCCAGACTTTCTCACAATTCTTTTTTCTTTTTCCTGTGATTTCACAAAACTGGTAAAGTGTAATTACTTCTGAGACGCTTCTCCAAAGCTCAGCTGAAACTGGCTAACATGGTCCAAAATCTAAATGAAGAGTGGACAACAAAGCACTACACACAAAGAAACAGTTTCTCAAAGTAAGCAGAGCTGGAAAACTATTGCCAAAAATAAAGAAATAAGAAAAAAAATTAGCAGTTCAATTCCTCAGCGATACAAAGACAAAAACATTTCTAATCTCTCTCTACATATAGTTTCCTGCCTAAACTGGAAGTCATTCTCCCCCTCTTGATTTTTCTACTTGTAAAAGGAGGATAACAAGGTCAGCCTTTGTAAACTGGTTCAAAATCAATAGATGAAAAGAACTGTTTAAAAGCTATGGCACAGAGTTCAGGATGTCAAATTTAATGCAATAGAAGCCAGCATTTGCCTAATAGCTTCCATACAAAATAGTCTGTGCCCAAAGGATAATGAAGTAAATTAAGACTTTTATCTTCTGTTTCCAGTGCAAATTCCAAAGTAACATTCATTATTAGACATTTTTTAAGAGAAAAATTCTAAAATAATTAAGTTTACCTCTTTGCCTTTAGTATCCCCATTTTCAATCCATTCAACAGTTACACTTTCATTATCTTCATTTAGAGACGTGACCATAGCTTGGTGAATTCGGCCTTGAAAGCAAACGCAAATTCATTAACCAGTGTAAAAATTTTCCAGAAGTTATTTTCATCCCTGCACTGAGACATGCAGAGACAGATATGAGGAAGAGGGTTTAAAAAAGGAGGTGAATCACAGAAGATGAGTCCTGGCCCCACACTGTGAAGTCTCAGACTTGGTTCACCGCTGGAGTGTTCAAGGAAAAAGCCACACCACTTGGGCTCTCTCCTGAGAGAAGAAAACGCCAATACCACACAAGTCTCCCACGGGCAGTGAAGTCTCCTGAGTTAAGCTCCACAAAGGCTTGTCTGGACCCTTTCTAGGCTGATATAACGTTACATGTCCCAACACAGGAGCAAAGCCCTCTGAAATCCTATTCAAATGTGCGTTTCTTACGGGCATCCAACCACTTGCTAAATTCAACTAAAATCAAACTGCCGGCAACAGTAATACAAAACGTCACTTTAAGAACAGCTGCTTACACAGACTACTGAGCTGGAGTTACAGTGCCGCTGCTTTCACTTGTCCAGTGAAAAACCCAAAGCCAGCGAGCCTGAAGTACGAGAATCAGTAAATTTTTAATAAGGATTTTTCTTCCTAAATACGTAGCGTACCGCAATTTTTTATGTCCTATTTCCTACGCACCATAGCAAGGAGCAATTGGAAAGGCATGCACTGACACAAAAGGATCAAGACCCAGGTGTCACATTGATTTCACATCTATGCTTTGCCCTCGGAGTACTGAGTTCCTAAACAGCATGAGTCCAATGCAGCTGCTCCTCTGATAAGCCATAGCACGAACAAGCAATCCTGCACTCCACCCGCTCTGAGCCACCCCCCAGGTGCCCGAGAGCCACGTGAGGCTCTCAAATCACAAGTCACCGTCCTGAAGCAGTCTGTGCCCAGGCTGCTGCTACTGGGCCAGGCACTGCGGGGGGCAAAACACAGCAAGGACCTTACATGTCTGCTCTGGCCCATGTCTCCTCCACCTTGCACCTTCTCTCCTCCTTTCCCAAAGCTCCCAGGCCCCCAAATCCAGTCTAGTTTTCTCGTCCGCAAACCTCTGGTTTAGTCATTTCAGCTATGATTTGACAGTCTTCCAAAGTTAGTGTTTTTATACAGTCTCAGCTTCTCAGGGCCTGCTGAGAGACAGAAAGGAAGAAAGACCTTGACTGACATCCCAAATTATTTCACCCAATGGCACGGTAACAAATGTATACTGTTAATATTTATTTCATTACAAAGGCTGCCAAAACATCACACCTAGTTAAAATGAAGCAAGAAGAGAGACTATAGGAGGGCATCATGGAAGTTAACAGCCAATCTGCGTAACACAATGTGCGGAAGAAGAGACTTAACTGAAATTCAAGCCAAGTGGAGTGCTTGGGGCCGACTCACAGAGCAGCCAGCAATCCCAAGCAGCGCTGCTTTCACGTTTAGGGTGCTCACATTACCAGCAACATACACTACATATGCATTTACAACCTCTGCACTTGTCCTTGCCCAAAGCGTAAGATTCACACCATCACTGAAGAAGGTTAACCAGCTTCTTTAAAAAAAACCCAACAAACATCCTCCTAGTTTGCTTCAGTTGGTTCCCTTCCTCTAGCATTTGCCACTTTTTATTTCCCTGTCCTGAGTTTTGTCTGACCAAGCCCTTCCATCTGTGTTTCCCAAGCACGGTTCCTGCAGTCGTCCCAGCTGTGCGCTCTGCAGGAAGGGTCCAGCCTGCATCGTCCAAACAGGCGCTGCCAGGAGACGCTAGGGCAGGGACCACTGCTGTACCTCCCATCCCTGCACGGGCGCTCCTCCCTTCCCCCTTCACCAGGAGGGTGCTGTTCAGGCACACGTCCTGCCCTCAGCATCCTGCCCAAATTCTGCTGGCGGCTGGGCTGCAGCACGCTCACCGAGCACAACACTGTTTCCTTGGACGAGCATTTTTGCGCATGTTTTCTGTGTGCAAGGTCCTCGATACATCTCTCCATTAATTTTTCTGCATTTGATAACCTCTAGGGTCTTAATTTTGTGGAAGAACACCCTGTTGTAGAGCTGCTTCAATTAGCTACCTGGTCCTTCAGCCAAGTAGCAATAGCAAACGCTGTCCTCCTGCAGCAGTGCCACTCCTGGCACTTCTGCAAAGAGGATGATGGGACTGCGAGGACACAAAAACTATGGGAACTGGAAGACTCCTCAAGCTTACATTGGTATAATCTTCTGCTATTGTTTTAAGACTTAGCCTAGCTGTCAATCCAGAATCAAGAGAATAATGATATATGAAAAATGTAAGTTCAGCAAAACATATTCTATACAATATTTTAATTCAGTACATACTAAAGTATATTACCAAATTTCATCAATTTTTAAAAACAGCACTATTCACTGCTGAAACCTGTGACTCTGTATTAGTCACAGAGCCATCACATAAGTCCTATTACCTGCTCCTGGGCTGTCTTACTTTTGACAAAGAACGAACAATTAAAAAAGGTTTAATTTTTGCTATAGCAAGTGAAAGGAGATCAAAGCAGACTGATGAATGAATAGAAAATACTGAACACTCTCACAAACACAGTAAGCCAGCATGCCATAACAAAAGAATCACAATAAATCTTCCATCTCTGTGCCAGATTTTATCCGTTGGCTGGCCAAGAAAGTCAGGACTGAACAAAAAAAACACAGAAAAAACACTAACCAAAAAAAAAGTTATGTCCATCTTCCAAATACTGTCAGAATAAACGGAAAATGTATACTAGAACGTTTAAACTGGTAATATACCCATACAATTTGTTCCTAAAAATTCTTCATGTTATTAAAAGTCTACATGTTATTGAAGTGCCAGAAAGCACATTTACATCTTTACAATTGCCTCTTGCTCTCCACAAACAGTATTCCATTATATTTTTCTAGTACACAGCTGAATAGAGCAGCTGTGAAATTCAGG